TGGGTCGAGTACCCATAGGACTATTAGGCCTGTGTTTCCCCAAGGACACAGGGCCAAGAGAGTCCCTTCTCGGGGTGGTGGCAGCTTACGTTACCCCCAGGCTAGTGAGTGTGCTCCAGGAAGGGGGTCAGCCGGATGCAAGGCACCCCTAGGGAGGCACTCAGAGCCTGGAAGGTGGTCAGGCACAGTGAGGTGGGTGGCTAAATGCAGGAGTGTCCCCTACTGGCCCGCCACGCCTCCAGGCAAACAAAGACCTGTCACAGGATGGATCTGGCCCACAGGCTGTATTTTGCTTACCCTTGCCGCATGGGGACAGAGAAAAGTCCATCTCTATCAAGATTGCCAGGATGCAGATGCTGTTGTCTTGCCAGCTGGAGATGGAACAGTGTTTTCAGCATGTGTTTGGAGCTCTAGCAGCAATGAAAAATGTGAATCGTCTTGACAACCTTAACATGACTCTCCTTTATGTCATTAGTAGCAAATTCTTCCCTGTCCCACCAGCATTTTCCTACCTTATATGGATTTAGCTTCTGGCAACTGTTGGTTTTCAGTGTCTTTCTTCACATATTGTGAAAGCAATGACACATGGTATTTGTATTTGGTGTCAAGGCAGATACTGCCCATGTTTCTTGGTATGTCAGTCTGTTTTGTCTCATAGGCTCCATTAGCAGTTGCATATAAATACTAAATAGTATGCAGAATAGGTCCCTAGTAGATCTAGTTGGTAAGACAGAGTAGAAGATTCTCGTCGCATACCTTATTCTGAGAGAAAACTGGAGCCATGTGCTATTTCAGTTCTTAACTCCTGCTACATTTGGCACAACTGCTTATTAATAACTGCAGCATGTTATTATTATCTGTTATCATCTGATGCCTGGCAGGTTGCAGTAAAACTGTGCATTTTTCAGTGGGTGACAGTGTACATTTTTCATTTGATTTCAGACATCTTTGGACAGAGAACTGACTTTTGGTGATGTTTTGTTGGGTTTTTTTTACTGAGGACTTTAATCAAAAGCATTACAGCAGTATGTCACTAAATATGAAATGCAGGCTGCTTTATATTAACTCTTTTTCCATCATTTGGTCATATATTACAACAGAATTTTATTTCTTTAAAGTTACAAATCCCTAATATATGAAAAGAGCTTTCCAGTTGCATTTTAAAAATCTCCTTGTCAGTTATTAAAAAGCAACTTCCTTTGTTTTGATTACCTTTAAACTTAGAAATATATATGAATTGTAAAGTTTTAGGAGAGTTATTTTCCTTAATTGAGTTTTTTCTCAAACGTTCTTACAAAACGTGTGCATATGTATGTGTGTGTGTATATGTGTGTGTGTATATATATAACATTTAATTAAAAATTCTAGAGCTATGAAAACATCACACATTTTACAACTGCACAGATCTACAAGGTGTTTCTTTCAAAAATTACAGTTCACTGAAGGATTGAAAAGTGCCCTCAGCTGCACCTCCATACCTATGATGTATAATGTGTGGTAGAGGATAGTGTTCTCTTGTGGAGCTTTATTATGTAGTATAACAAATAGTAAAAAGGTTATGAAGGCTGAAACTATGCCTACTGTAATCACTTACAGGTTAACTCTATGGGTTAAAACATTTAAAACATCTTTAAAGTTATGTTGCTTTAACAGTCACGTTTCTAACCTGTTCTAATATCATTCGTAATATCTATTGTAACTGACACCATCGTACAAGTGACATTTTTATATAAAATCACCCTTAGCTTATTTTCTTTTGTATACATGCTTTTTTTTAATGCATTTGTTAAACTTGCTTTAGAGATTACCACATGCCCAACAAAGCATTGAAGATGGTGTGTGATACAATTAAGATTTAATTCTTTTTACACTGTCTACTTAATTTGTTATTTGATGCTGCAAAATGCTGAAATACTTTTGGAAGATTGTGTTTCTGCCTTTCATGTGCCAGGGAGTATTTAAAAAGTTTAAATATATAGTACCTAGCACAGTATAGACAAAGCATTGGAGTTTATTATATCATGGAAATTTCATTTTAAAAGATCATGGTTGGCATATACACTATAGAATGATGATTACCTTTCCTTATGTAATCAGTGGAGTTACAGCAGGGATTAATTCAATCCAGTCTTTTTGTTTCAACATAAAATCACTGCCTTTTTTTAATAAATATTTTGTTTAACATGCATATAAAGAACATACATATATTTTTCAACTTGGCAACAAATAAGCTAGAAACAGTTTTTGTATTTGTTTAAAATAAATAAGTTTTCAGATGATTCACTATCTGAGTTTGTCCAGTGGGTTTCTTTCATAGAAAGAATACAATATGTTTTAGAGACTCAAGCATGAAAAGACTTGTGACATTTTCTGTGCTGCAGTAATATCCATCTTTGAAATTTAGCCTATCATTCTTTCATCACTGGCAAAAACATTCCACAGACTTTATTTTCTTTTGTTTTGGATCTTATGGTGGTGGTGACAAAAATGCAAGTAAAATGTATTTACAGAAATTATAACCAAAGTGTGTCTTGTCTCTCACTCACCACTAGTCTATGTAGATGCACATTTGTCCTGAAAACCTTAAGGATTCTAAGCTTTCAGCCTACACATTCTGGCCAGGCATCCCTTCTCATCAACTGACAGCTGGAAAAATCCAGTGTGTGAGCTCTGGAGTCCTGTGTGTGCCACTTCAAGAAAAATCTTGCCATGGGGATGACATACTTTGGGTTAGCTGCCCAGAATAGGCTGCCAAAGTATGCCAAACATGTCCACACCATCCTCTTTTTCCCCTTATAAAAGGAACTTCTGTGCCAAAATGTACATTAAAAGCCACGTATGAAACGCTAGGACATTTAGAGTCGCGGTTATTTCATTGACTATGTTTATGGTGTAGAACAAAACAGCTTAACATTTTTGTCTTATAGAAATAACAGTTTTCTGTTTTAAAACCAGAATCTGAGCAATATAGTATTTGTTAGCAGAAATAAGTGGAAAATAAATTAAGTTAAACTTATTTTTCTTGGGGGGAGGTACTCACTCTTAGTATTTGAATGAAACATTGTTTATTTATTATTCATTAATATAGTGCATGCTATTTTTTTCCTTTTTGTTCCTTACCCTAGGTTATTGACCTGGGTTCTGGAAAAGGCTACCTGAGTTCCTTTTTGTCCATGCAGTATAACCTAAAGGTTTATGGAATTGATTCCTCAAGCACCAATACTCATGGAGCTAACGAACGGAATAGGAAATTGAAGAAACACTGGAGAGCCTATCAAAGTCGGGCAAAAACAGGTGTCAAAGGCCAAGTGTTGGAAGAGGCAAAGAAAGGGCCAGTGGAGGATGAAATGAAATGTAAATCAAGTATCAATGAGGACCTCTTAAATGCTAACAACCATCTTCACGGTGAGGATCATCTGGCTACTTCAGCTTCAATTTCTCTGGAAAGTGCTGGCGTTTTCACAGACTCTGCAATGTCTAGAACTAGCAAACAAACTGAACTTCATGGAGTGGCACAGCTACAGTCTTATAAGAACAAACTTGCTGAAAATGCCTTTTCTATTATGAACATCCTGCCTAGTGATGCTATAGAAGGTACTTCTTCATCCAAAAATAACTACCTAGAGCTCTCTGAAGATGAAAAAGAACAAAGAAAAATGGCCTCCATCAAGGCCAGAGCAAGCAAGTCAAATGAATCAAACATTTATTTTCCATTGACCTCATATATCACTGCGGGAACAGAACTCTCTGACATCATTACAGATCTAGAGGTTGTTTCACTTACATTTTTCAACTACTATTGTTTGATTCTATGTTGCCTTACATCTTGTGTAGTCACTGTCATAGTGCAGAGTGGGTATAGAATGCAGTCAGCTGTGCGAGCAAGCAGACAATTCTGACTCAGTACTGCATTTCTTGCTGATGTATTCACTGTTTCTTATTTTAGTGCATCTGTTAGACCATTTTGGATTGGATTTGAAGTGTAGCTAAAATTAACATTTAAAATGTAGTTAAAAGATATTATTCAGCTACCCTACAATAATTTATATTCTGATTCTGCATATATTCTGATTATATATGTTTGATTCTAATTAATTATTTAGAAGAATTTGGTGAACTAACTGCTGTCTAGTAAAAGGGCTCAATCCACAAAGGTATTTAGGCAGTCAAAAAATGGAAGGAAGAAGAACAGCAGAATAAATACACTGGACTTCATAAAAGCAGACATTTACAAATTTGAGGAATCCAGGCAGGATTTCATGGAAGCAAGTCTCAGGGCAAAAGGAGCTGGTTGTACTTTAAAGAGACTTTAATAAAGATGCACAGCAAGCTATCCCAATGCAAAAAAAGGATAGGAAATGCGGCAAGAGACTGGCCTGGCTAACAGTGATCTCTTCAATGAGTTGCAATTAAAAAAAGGAATCTTACAAAATGTGGTAACTTGGCCATTTAAAATGGATAGGCTGATTTGGCAATCAGAACACTGCCTAGCAAGTAGAGTTGGTAATTAATCTTTTGGGGCAATATCCACTGCTCTCAGCGCTAGGCTATTACCAGCCCTGAAAGTACCTAGATCATGTCAATTTCAAGGCGTCTTTTAGAAGGCAACTAACAATGTATCCTGCCTTTATAAGGTGCAAACAGCTAAGTGTAGGCTGTTCCTACAGGGAATAACATACCTGCAGGAATATTAATATTGAAATTACTGGAATTTGGCAAATGGATTGTGCCATTTGCATAATTTAAATGGCAGCTTGCCTTACCCATGGGTATCTTAAGTGGTTTATACAGTATTCTTTTAATCTTGGTCCTAATATTTATTTAACCTTTCCTTAATTATTTAAACATATTTAGTAATGTGCCTCTGGTAAAAGTCTGCAAGAAGTAAATGCAAACAGTATTTTTATAGTTTGGATGGTCATCACTATTTTTAAACTGATTGTGGTATAATAGTAATAATGAGATGATCTCAGTGCCCTGCAATTTATATATATTACACTGATGTGAAATGTGTACAGTGATGTCAACGTTCTTGCCATTCAGCTGTTTTCATGCACCGCAAAATGGCCTTGTCGACTTAAGACTTGGCTTAGGAAGATTATTAAGTTCCTCAGAAATTGTTAGTGTATTAAATGTAGGCAGTTTTTTTTGTTTACATCAAAGATCAGGAGGAGGGATATGGGATAGAACAGACAGCCAAGAAACAGGAGTGGATCTGCAAGTACCTGTTATGAGTCTCAGTGTCTTATTCAGTTGAGTCACTGAGGCTGGTATGAGTGCTCCTTCCCCAAACTGGTAGACAATACTCAGCTGCTGAATAAGCAAGGGCCAGCAACAGTGTTCTAAGAGCTTCAGAATCACATCCCCAACTCATACCAGCAGTTTTGAGATGATGTTATTACGTATGGCAAGTTTGTTCTGGGTTATTTGTATATGATGCTTATAGGTGAGCCTGGCTGAAGTGGACTTCTAAATACTTGGGGTCGGGTTCATACCTAACCAGTTTCCACAAAAGCTGATTCTTAGTTGGTTGTTCACCTGGGCGTTTACAAGATGAAAAAAGATGGTGACGCTATCAGTGAACAATGCTAAGAACAACTGTGTACACTACACAATGAAATAGATGTCATGTAGCTGCTTAGCACAGCACTAGATGTGGCCTAAGGAGGGCATAATATCTGCTAATGTATGATATTGTTGGTATTGGCAGCAATATGTGCTTTTTGCAGTCTTCCCAAGTTCTGAGGCTATTTAGGGGAAAATGGAAATATTTCTGATTTATTTGGTGGAACTTCAAAGTGATTTGACTCATTGAAAAAAATATTGGATTGCAGTTATAAGGAAAGGCACATATATTTTAGAGCTACTGAATTCTAGTAGGTGGATGTACTGGTCTTAAGTCACAGAACCAGAATCTGCTCTCAGATGAATGAGTGAGGTCCTAAATTGGTGGGGTTACAACAGTGTAATTGATTGTACTAGGATAGCGAAGAGATACTTGCCTTTTGAACTGACAGAATTTATAGATTACTTTAACAGATTTTTCATATCTGCTGTATCTTGTGGCCACCTTCTACTATCTTTCTTTTGGAATAAATCTGTCCAGTTTTTCCAATCTGTCCAGTTTTTTTTTAATACAAATATTTAAATGCTGTTTTTTTTCAGCGCATGAACTTCCATCTCTTTCTGTTGTCCCTCCAATAGTCTTTTGCCATCTCGCATTACCACTGAGCAAGAAGTACCACAAAGTGTACATCTAGGGTGCATACATATACTAAGTCAACTTAAAATAAGGTGACTTAACTAAGTCGATTTAAGCAAGTCAACTTAAGCCACATTGGTGCCTTCACATGTACAGCTCTTTGACATGATGGCAGCCATCTTGTGAACTAAGTCAACTTATTTAATGTGACTCAGATAATATACCTCCGAGGTGTATTATCTTGCACTGCATTGAAATCAACTCTGCTCCATACACGTGTGTATGCTCTGACAGTTAAGTTTTCTTTAAAATGTTAAGCTGGCTTAACTATCAGAAAGTTAGTAGGTGTGTGTGTACCCCTAGCCAACCATTAGATAACAAGTGCGTGGAGCAAGCTAGGTGGAACTTCTTAAAGGCTGAAACAGGGAACGAAACACACAGAAGAAACAGATGGAGGGGGAGAGAGGGTGTTATCTAATTGTAAACTAGTTATTAACTTTGTAATACTTTCTGCTAAGTGGTAATGTGAGACGGCAAAAGGCTTATTGGAGGGACAACAGTAAAAGATGGAAGTTCATGCATTAGAAAAAATGTAACACCTGTATGTGACCACTGACTGTTCATTTCCAGTATGGGTTCTTACAGAGAAAATGTACCTCACAATAAAAATAAAATTTTTAAAAGTACAGTATACATATTCTGCCTCAAATTACTTGCTGTTTTCTATTTTAGGCAGAAAGCACAGCGCATGTCTATTCAGGCATTGATAAGCTGTAGGATTGTCAAGGGTAGTTTGGAACATGTTAAAGTAGGAATTACTAAGTAAAAATCTAGAAGTAAAGAAAAAAATAATAATAATGTTGAGAAGGAAAAGGGTCAGAAGAAAATGGCCAGTATTGTTCTCTGACTAACCAGACAACTGACTCAGAGTCAGTTACGAGTGTTGGACTTTGATTTCTCCTAGTCAAAGAAAGTACAAATAAGAGTATCTCCACAACTCCAACAAAACGAAGAACACTTCCATTCCTTGATTGTATTTTAAAGGAAGGAGGTTCACATTTTATTAGTACTCAAGTGTTCACAGTATTCTGCAAAAATTTCCAGAATAGGACACCAGGAGTCCTCATGAGCTTATATATTAAAAACTTACAGCAGTTTAGCTATTTGCAGCATATCTGGTTGAACTGTTCTTGTTGTTTCCCTCTCTCTCTGTTGAAAAGAAGTATTTTTATTTGTTTTTATTTTATTTTTAGGACTGCATAATGGTGGGTCTACATACATGTGGAGATCTTGCTTCAAATACACTGCGAATTTTTACTGCTACGCCTGAAATCAAGGCAGTTTGTAGTGTGGGCTGCTGCTACCATCTGTTGTCAGAACAGTATGAAAACCAAAAAGGTACTGTAACTCTTCTAAACCAAAGTTGAGGCTGCCAGCTTGCAAGTTGAGAACATTATACCCTTTTAATTAATAACTACCTGTTTCTGTTCCTTTCTAGTAGCTTATTTATTACTGGTTTTAATTACATTATGTGGTTCACTCACATTATGCGGATGCCCTGTAGCTTTCCTGTTTTGCCAGTATTTCCAATATTCTTACTGAAATCAGGAGCATTAATGCAGAAGGTTTTATGTGGTTACAAATACAGCTTTTTTTATTCTATTACTTCACTCATAAAATGTGTGTGTATGGGGGGTGGGGTTGGGGAATATGTTTTCATCTTTCTGAAATATTTTGTGCCAGATTTTGCCCTTGGCTACATGCACACAACTTATATGTATGCTGAGTTGTGCCCTTTAAATTTAAGCTTAATACTTTAAAAAGCACTCATCAGCATAGCATTCTGGGGCATTGGCAGAATTGTTGTAGAACAGTACATGTACAACAGATTTTTGTGGGGAGCAAAACTGAATGTTTTCTGACTGTTAGTTCACGCTGAATGAAAAGTTTTATTTCGGGAGCTATTCTTTTTTATTTCTGGGAGAAGGTTGGTATTTTTAGTTGTAAAAATTCTTCATACTTCATTAAAGCCTTGCAAAGAGGAAGGAGTTGGAGATTGTAGTTGCACAACTTCTATCAACATATACTGTAATACATAAAATTCATGGACTGCTGTGTTATCACAAAAACAGGTCTGGCATTTCATACTTAGCAGTGGAAGTATGGTCTTGGTATCACTAAAAATCCCGTGGGAAATTTAAATTAAAGCTTAAAATCGAAAAATGCAAACAACATCATGTTGGTCTCCTGTAAACTGACAACAGTGAGAATCTGGACAAAATTTTAGATGAATATCTGTAACGTATTTTTAATTAAAAATATGTGTGTCATTAAGCAAATTATTGTTAATGCTCACAGGATTCTGTACCTGGGTCATAGTTTCATAGTAGCTAGGGTCAGGAGGGACCTGAACAGATCATCTAGCCTGACCCCCTGCCCCAGGCAGGAATGAATGCTGGGTTCACAAGACCCCAGACAGGTGATCATTCAACCTCCTCTTGAATTTGCCCAAGGTAGGGGCGAGGACCACTTCCCAGCAAAGTTGGCTCCAGATTCTGGCCACCTTAACTGTAAAATACTGCCTTCTGATCTCTAACCTAAACCTATTCTCCATCAGGTTATTACCATTGTTCCTTGTCACCCCAGGTGGTGCTGGGGAAAAAGGGGATCTACCCATTTGCTGATGATCTCCCCTGATGAGTTTGTAGGCAGCTACGAGGTCCCCCCTCAGCCTCCTCTTG